ATATGACTGAAATGGTTTTGACACTTTATTCGTCGTCAACCTCACAAGTTCAGCGTAGCTGTCCTCGACGCGAGATCCTTACGCAATCGTAGACGTAAAGGTGGGGGTCAGCTCATAACCTGGCTCGAATCAGTCCGTCAGGACATGAAAGTGGTTCTTTGACTTCGATATTCGGCCCCTGGCGTTGGAATGAACTGTTCAGGTCTCTTTCCACGGCTCTTTGCGCGTGAGAGTTATTGTCTGGGTTATCTGAGAGGTTGGCTAGATCAGTCATGCTTGCAACGGTTACAGGTAAAATTCAGTACCATTGATTCATCTGGCTCTAACTTCAGATGTTTTATTCGTTCAGGGAACTGTCTGGCAGAAGCTACGGTCGTCGATGATCCTACTGTCAGGAATTTTAGATAAGCAAACATCCATTTTTCTAAACCGTATGTAGGCGGACACGGAGGGAGATGATTGGTCTTAGTGGAATGTTTTCTTTGCGAGTAAAACATCTGCATTTAGAGCCAGACGAATCCATGATATCCTTTGATGTTGTAACACAAATGTATGAACAGTGTAAGGGCACCCCATTAGGGTCCCTTCTATCCGGCCTGATTCCTGAAGTGGTCCTTCAACGGATTGAACAATTGGTATTCACCAACTGTCAACCGAAGTTTTGGGCTCTTTATGTCGATGACACTTTTTTCATTGTCAAAACATCTGACATTGAGCACCTCAAAGATTAACTAAACTCAGTTGACCCAAATATCCAATTCAAGATGGAAGCGAAAAGAAATCACTTACTACCCTTCGTTGATCGCCTGGTACGCCGTTGTTCAACTGCCAATCCACAATATTAATAAAAGCCATCAGCACGAAACAAATACTCTACTTCAACAGCAATCACCCTCTGCTTCACAAAAGTAGCTGCATTCCTAGTTTTTTACAAAAAATTGAAACACATTGCAGTAAACAGGCGGACAAAAAAGTGGAACAACAATACCTTCATGACCTCCTTAGACCTAATGGATACCCGAATTTTTTTATCGACCAAAGCAAGCGCCGAGTGAACAGACGAGGGGCAGCAAAACAGCAACCCAAAGTCTGGAG